TAATACTAGGAAGGCTAGAACGTCTACTGAGGATCAAATCAAGCTGATGCCAATGCTTGGATCTTGGATGTCTCCAGGAAACTTTGTGTTGAAGCTTTGTATTAAAGAACATGTTGCTGACACAAAGACCCTAATAACAGCAAAACTCCAACAAGCGTTGGCCTTTTTTGTTCATTTCTCCAATGCCAAAATAGCCTAGACAAGTGAGCAAAGAATTGTGATCTTCACCAACTCTAGCATTAAAGTATCTGAGAATGAACAGTGGCTCTCTTTCAGGGACTTTTTTGATAGTAGGTTCCAGATCGTTGTAGAATTTGTCTTTCACTTCTGTAGTGGATGACAGTGTTGGTGTATATGCACTAATGAGGGTGGCCGGTCCCACTGATGAGTGGAGCTGCAGAGACAGGATTCTTTCACTCCCCAGTAGGTGGAACAATGGATCTCAGAAGAGTATTTCTGCCTGAAAAGCCAACACCATACTCCCTGGTCTCATTCGATGGTTTTCCCTGCCAGAAGAATGAGAAGTTTTTTTCTTTGACAGATCCCGAGTCTGGCAGTCTGGTCTCTTTCAGGTCAACAATGTCCATCTGCAGTCTACTCAATTCCATGTCGATGACAGCTGTCTCATGCACATTTCCTGCAGGTTGTCAGAAAAGCCGTAGTCAGAAAAGCCAGGGGTCATTGTCCATACATTCCAGGTGCCCAGCTTTAGGGCAGAAGTTTTCTTATGATTGGTGCATGGTGCAGGGTTATCGATCTGCTTGTTGGCTTTCACCCTAAACCCCATGCACCCTGTGAGGTTAACAGACCGTGGTGAGGTAGCACCTTACTGGCTGGGGGCTGCCCAGCTTAAGGCGGGTGGTAGCTACCTAGTGAGGTGGAATGACCTCTCCCACCATCAGAAGTAGCCCCTGGCATCATGCTCTATGCCAATCAAGCAAAGACTTACCAGGTATACCAGGAATAACTGCTACTTCCTGTTGTTTCGACGCTGTATGCAAAGCTGGAGTGTCCTCTCCAGAGAACAAACCCCGGGTAAAATAACATGGAGGATAGAAGATGCAGAAGAAAAATGCACTAAAATAGATTTGCTGTGCCAACTATAGCCAATGTGTGCTGTCCAAACGTTGGCCTACAATTCCCATTTGTTAGGAGTAGTTTTGGGGGGATTAAGGGTTTCTAGGCATTTCAGTGGAGCTGGAAGTGAAGAAATTCGCATTCATCCTTGCACAAATGACTATGTCATTTACAGTATGAGTAGAATAGAGGTAGAAGCAGGTAGGATTTATTCCCTGGCAGAATAAGGGATATGCATAGTGAAAGGATGAGTAAGTAGAGATCATTTGATGGTCATTGCTCATGATCCACAGAAACTGCATGCTAACCTTGTAGGTCTGCCTTAGCTTAAGGAACTGTTCTGTTTCAGAAGACCCTAGTTTCATTAAACAGAATAAGTGTCTCCATTTGCACAACATGATAGTCCAAAATTGCTTTTCTTCTCTTAATTGATCAGTAGATCTGCCCTGATTTGCCCAACAAGATTTGAGGCTATTAGAGTGGATTTGATTTCTCATCTTAGTGTAGTAGTTTGGTGTCTTTCACTGCCATCCTTGCTAGATGCTAAGCCTAAACTCTAAATCATGCCTTAGACTCCTAAACTGCATTCCTTGAATTTCAGTTCTTGAGATACTGAAAATATATTTTGCATATCAGATTTTAGAGTGACTTACACCTTTGAAATGAGCACACTTAAACCCACAAATATTTCAAGCAAGCACAGCTCTAAAGTAGACTACTAGTCCACTCCAATCCATGTTGTTCATGAGGCAGCTCTGGTATAATCAGAGGGGCTCCCTCCTTAATAAGTGCGATTTGGATTTAGGCCAAAAGCTTGCTCCAGTCAGGAAGTAAAATCTGTTAAATTACCCAAGTAGATAAAAATGTGTTTTCCTAGTGCCTGCATGATAGCAGTGTTGTCATGAGATTTGTGAGAGAGTATTCCATAACCAAGGCACTACAGTTACGAAAGCCAGGCTTCTTGAGGATGATTTTAAAGAAACAATACGGACAAAACTCTGGTCTTAAAGAATAGCCAGGTCAGTACGGTAGCAGAGATTATTGTACATACTAGTTACCACAAGGATATTAGTCTGTTACACAAAGAACAACAAGTAGTTTGTCACCTTAAGGATTAACAAGTTAGGAAGGAAATTAAGCTCAGAAATTGCTAAAACAAAAACAGAAGTATGACAGTGGCAACAATAACATTACCAGTAAGCCACTGACAACATTGTTGCTGGTAATGCAGTAAGACATGTTGCCCACATTCAAAATCCTGGTAACACACTAGACATTGTAATAAATCTCTCCTTTCCCTTTGAAGTTTGTTTGGTCAACAGTAGTTTCTTTAAGTGACAGAATGTGATATATGGAGCCAAAACAAAAAAAGATAGCTGCATAGGTCTAAAACAAAATCCAAAACCTATGGGTGGGCAATATGTTATTAAAGTCAACTAAATTTCCACAATTTTTGAGCCAGATTTTAAGTTCTCCAAAATTCTTTTATTGGGCCAGGTGGTTCAGAAAGGTGGGGAAGCAAAAACAGTTAACTATGCCCTTACCACCTTGCCCACAAATGCTCTATAAAACAAATACCTGTCAAGCTTCATAAAAATACACTAAACAGTCCTGGTCTTAAATATGTCCTTAGGGCAGATGTTTCAAACATGCCACAATGTATTTCCACTTACCTGCACCATGTACCCAACAGCTCAGAGCCCAAGGCAGGAGAAATATATGCAGGAGCAACATCCTCAGAGTGACCTTTATTTCCAAAAGGCAAGAGCACTTCTGCCTTAAGCGTCTGCAAGAAACAAAACCAAGCTTTTTAAAAACCACAAGCAACTGAGGGGTAGACTCTGACTCTCTAGTTTGTTCAGCTGACTAGAGGGGGAAGGCAGGGCGGGCTGGGAACAGAAGGGCGAGGCGAGGCGGGCTGTGTGTTCAGTCTTCCTTCTTATTTCCTCCTCTGCAGCTGAGGAACTGACTCTTTTCCTTGCCAGGCCTCGCCCCTCACTTCCCTTGGTAATCCTGCTGTCCTATCCCAAACTATTTTTCTTTTTTGGGGGGGTGGGGGCAAGGTTTATTAACTGAAGTGCAGCAATAGAGAAACAATACATGAGGGGGAGAAATAGGGTGGAGATTGTATCTTGCAAAAATACTATTTACATTATCTGGTGAAAAGAGTGCTTTCTACAAATGTAGTGGCATAACCTTCTGGTTCACAGTGATTTCTGCTATCAACAGAAATATGTTCTACATTATTGCAAACTCCCTTCTTCCTTGGAAAATGACAGTCCAGGGACTGTGTGACTACTTTCCTTGCCTTTGAATTAAAACCAGCAGGATAACAAGTATTTGCTTTGTTTATAAATATTACCCAGAGAAAAATCCTGCACTCAGAATGTTTCTCATTTAAGCATTTTGGCAGACTCCCTCTGTTTCTGTTAAAATTTCCCACTTGCTTTGTTTCATACACACATCAACCCGCTTCTCATTGTTATTTTATAGAGTGCTGATGGGAATCTTATTTAAAAACACAACAGCCAGTATATTCCATTTGTTTTCACAAAGCCCCCAACTGCTCCATGGCTGAAACACATGGCACTTTCCCCTACCAATTTCGGGCTTGCAGTTAAGCAAATCAGAGCTCTTCCTGTTGATTTGAGCAGGGTTTCCATCAGAACAAGGAATTAGTGGATTCCCTCTTGTGCAAGCAAATGATGCTGGATAAGAAACTATTAGCAATAAAGCTCATTGGGTGACTCTGAGACACACACTCTCATCCTGAACTACTTCACAGGGTTGTTATAAAGATAAAATAGGAAAAGAGCCATACACACCACTTTGAACTCATTGGAAGAAAAGCAGTCTATAAATGTAACAAATAAAGGAATGACATTGGTTTGTTAATTATTACCAATCTAACATTTCTAGGAGAGTTTCTGATTGCATTCTAGGGCATACTTCCACTTTACACAAGGAGTCTGCAAACCCAAAATATCTTCTTTCTTTGTGTCAATGGCATTACAGTACAATTAAATATATTGGGTAATTTTTGCCCAATAACAGGAAACTTCAAGAGCATTTGGTGCAGTTAATATCAGGTACATGCTGAGAAACATGGACTACACTGACATAGTTCCTGCTATTTTCCACACTTGCAAAGGACCGTTCACTTTGGTTCTAACCAGTTCACTCAGTGGCCTATGAAGTGACTTCCAAGTAATCCAGTTCTCCATATGGCTGGGTGCACAATTTTCCTTGGGTTCCATCCCTGTAAGAGGTGATCTGTTCTTTCTTTCCACTTTATAGTTATTGCATTCTCTGCTGTAGTTTCTTCAAGATGCACAGGGGTTCTGAAAATGTTTTTTCTTGATTTTAATTTGGGAAGGGTGGGATGGTAGCTGAAGAGTGGATGTGCATTTGATGTAAAAGTTTTGATGCTTCCATTATTAGCTGCCACATCTCTCTGTACATCTGCCAACAAGGTACAGTAATTGATTTTATCAAAAGGGACTGACTTCAGACATCCAGTAATAATTCTACAGCTTTCACTCAGTGCTGATTACTGTTTACCTGGGCCAAACTACATACTACACTGGGCTGATGTATTCAATTGCAGAGTATGCAAAGGACAATGGCTGTAATTCTCAAGATTTGTGGCTGTGTGCCCCAATATGTTCCCAATAATTTTGAAGGGTATTGTTCCTTGTGAAGATCTTTTGCTTTGTATTTAAGCAGTTTCTCATGGGTGTAGTTAGGATGTTTCCACCCATTTAATACTGCTTCTCATTGTTATAATCAAGTGTACATCCCCAGACACTGTTGTAGCAACTAAAATCTCCAATTGTAATATTTATTTTGTTGAAGAATGTGAATTTATTTGGACATCTCCTGGGGAACAACAGCACCCTTCAACTGATCCTTCCACTCTAGAGGCAGCAACATGAGCCCAAAAGATGTAATAAGGTTGTTTTGAAGACTAAGTGGGAAAGAGAAGAGCCATATTTACCAATTAACAGTACTCAGTGTGAACCAGGTGTAGAACATAGGATCTATCTATATGAGAACCCCCCCCCCTTTTTTAAAGGTGTTACTGGCACATCTGATTCACTTACTCATCTACTGAAATGAAAAATCAAACATAAGGTTGAGTCAACTGTTTTAATTGCTGCTCCTTTCATTGCTCATTTGAAGGAAATGTTTGAAGGAAGGTTTTCCAAGCAGTTGTACTGTGGCCTAGCTATAAATCTACTATAACAGATTGGAATGAAACTGCCTACAAAATGTGCATATCTAACTATCTGTGTAGGAGTGCCTGACATTTATTTATGTTGGTGGGAGAAAATTCCCCAGAAATTGCTCAAATAACTTTGCAAACACTCACCTGTAACTGCACTTTGATATATGGCACAAAATGGTGTTACAAAAATTATAATGTGTATAATACTGTATGTGACCTGTAGTAGCAATTGTATTCAAAACTAATACCAGTACAACAGTGCCTTGGATGCAAGAGGTAGGATAGGATGGCTGATCTTGCTAGTATAAAGAGTGAGGAAGCTGCTTCAGATAGCAGATGCTGAGAGGTAGGGATTGGCACCAAGCTGGAAGACAGAGCTATGTGTGCCATGCTACCAGCCCTACACCCTCTGTGGTGGCATGCTGCCCTTAGACGTGCTGCAGTGCAATCCCACTGGCAGTCCTGAAGCAAGATTCAGCTGCAAGCCTAGTCAAATTTGTACAAACTGGACGGGTTTTTTCCCACCTCACTCAGTTAAATGTTTTGGGTCATCCTAGGCCTTAGTGTAGACTCACTCCATCCAGGCTTGACAGCTCCATTGTACACAGTGCAAATACAAGACTCACAGAAAAATGTCAGTGGAAGAACGAATACAACAGAACAAATTATTATTACTTGGCTTCTTTCTGCATTAACAGAATCTTTGAAAATATATTACATTCACACATTGTCTGTATATCCCTTCATGATGACAATATTTACCAAATTATCTTTGTACAAACTCACAGAAGTGAAGATAAAATACAAACATGCATTTTTTCAGCCTTGATTAATCCTATCAGCAGCAATGTCTAAATGCAATTATTTAAAGGAAGCAGGTTTTGCAAAAACAAGAACAGTCACCTTTCAGCAGTTAGTACTGTGTTCCCCCGAAAATAAGACAGGGTCTTATATTAATTTTTGCTCCAAAAACACATTAGTGCTTATTTTCAGGGGATGTTTTATTTTTTTCATGTACAACCATCTACATTTGTTCAAATAGAGTCATGCCATCTTCTCCCAGTTGCTGCACAATGGTGGAGGGTGGGGTTTCACTTAACTGGGGCTTATTTTTGAGGTAGGGCTTCTATTACAAGCATCCTGAAAAATCATACTAGGTCTTATTTTCAGAGAATAGAAAAAGAATCCTGGTTAAAAAAAAATACATAATAGTCATAAGACATTAAAAGAACATTATATATTCTAGAAGGTGATTAAGTTCCCTATCTCTGCTTCAATAACAGCAAAAAGCAAAATGTGGTGTTTATATACTGCCTCATAGTGCCTAAAGCACTCTCTGGGCAGTTAACAATTTAATTATGCAGGCTACACATCCCTCCCCTCGCCCTCGTGAGCTGGGTACTCAATTTTCTGACTTCAGAAAAATGGAAGGATGAGTGAACCTTGGGCCAGCTACCTGAGCCAGTTGAGATAGAACTCAGATTATGAGCAGAGTCTTGCCTGCAGTACTGCTGTTTAACAAATGCACCATAAGGCAAAAGTTAGGGAGAAAGATTTTAAGGCTTTTGATTACAGAAGAAATTACTAGAGTACATAGAAGGGCTAAGAACAGTTGAATGTTCTGTTGCCTGGGCACATGGCCAAATGCAAGCTGCAGGATGTTCCTAACCCTAACCCTCTGTTTCCCTCCGTATAAAATTAACTGTGACCTTAAGAAACCTGCTGTGGAAGCTGTAGTGCCAGCACTTTGAATAAGGGATTGCAGCAAAGCCCAGGGGAAAAAAGTTAATTATGCCAGATCTATTTTTATAAATAAAAACATACATTATTTCATGCTTCACAATACATAGAATTGCTTTGAATGCTATTTTTCATGCTTGTAGTGGAGTCCTACAGTCTTCCAATTATGAAGTATGTATATCTTATATAGTAAATGAGATTATTCAGTATGGTTATATCAGTAGCCTACACTATACCCAAGGAAGGATCACAATGAGGGATTCCAGAGTTTGATGTAGATTATAAAGAACTGATACTGTTCATGATGTCAACTAAGCAGTTCACATTTTTCTCCTCTTTTTCATTGTACATAGGCAGCTGTATGTTAATACTATACAGATATTTTGGTACACCAATAATATTCAAGAATAATATTTTCATGTCAATTACATATCCTATTTTCATCTAAGCTGCTTTATCTGTCTATTAATGCTGCTTCTGGTCTCTGAAAGAAACTGGACACCGGTAAGCTAACGAAACCTCAACAGTATATTATACTTGTGTGTGCTGTCAAGTAGAAACTGACTTATAGTGATCCTAATAGGTTTTTCACAGAAACTGAAATATTTAAGGAGTGCTTCTACCAGTTCCACTTCCCCAGTGAGTTTCCAATGACCAAGTGGGGAATACAAACCCTGTTCTCCAGAGTCCTAGCCCAATACCCTATCCACTACAGTTCAGTGGTTTAGGTCTCTGGCTGCAGAGCCAGAGGTTGGGAGTTCAGTCCCCCAGTGTCTCCTGTGAGTAGGGCCAGGCTGTCCGGCCTTGAGCAAGCTGCACAGTTCCAGGGTGTCTTCAGAAGAAGGGAATAGTAAAGCTCTTGAGTATTCTGTACCTGGAAAACCTAGAAACAAGTCACTATGTCAGAATTGGCTTGATGACGCATAATATTACAATTATGTGCTGGCAAATGCTTTCTAATATGGCAATATGATAACCTCCAAAAGGTATTATAATTAACAGCCCTATTCAGATCTTGCAAACTAAAGTCAATCCATCTAATGCTCAATTTTTATTTTTCCTAACTGCCTTGCATTTTCCCTAGCATTATCGTCTTTTTCAGAGTCTTGTCTTCTTCTAATATGTCCTAAGTTCCAAGTCTAAGTCTTCTTCTCATGTCTTGGCTACAGTCTCCCTTTGGAGTGATGACTGAACCAAGGTATACAGCATCTCTAATTATTTCAGTTTCTTAATTGTCAACATTAAAGTTGTGTAGGTCTCCCGTAGTCATGGTTCTGTCAATGTTCAACTGCAGTCCTGCTTTGGCACTTTCTTCTTTCACTTCCACTAAAAGTTGTTTCAAGTTATTGCTGCTTTCTGTCAGTAAGATGGTGCTATCTGCATATCTTAAATTATTGATGTGCCTTCCACCAGTTTTTACTCATTCTTCATCTGCATCTACCCTGGCTTTCCAATATGATATGTTCTGCATATATGTTGAATAGATAAGGAGATAAAATGCACCCTTGTCTGACATCTTTGCCTATAGAAAACTATTCTCTCTCTCCATATTCTGTACTAATAGTAGCTTGTTGTCCACAATATAAGTTAGGCATCAGGATAATCAAGTGCTGAGGCACATCCATTTATTTCATCACTACCTAAATGATCCACATGATCAAGGGCTTTGTTGCAGTCTATAAAGCACAGACTGATCTTCATTTGAAATTCTTTGGTGCACTCCCACAGCCAGTTTATATTTGCAATTTGCTCTCAAGGGCCTTTTCCTTTTGGAATCCAGCTTGAACATGAGGCTTTTTCCCCTCCATACCAAGTGAAAGTCTTTATTGAAACACATTGAGCATCACTTTGCTTGCATGATATATTAAAGCAATGATTGTATAGTTGCTGCACTTCCTTGGCATCTCCTTTTTTGGGGACCAGAATCTATACTGAACAGTTTCCAGTCTGCGGGCTGTTATTTTATTTTCTATACCATGTTTCCCCAAAAATAAGACTGGGTCT